CTGGTTGGATGGATAAAAGAAAGTTCTGAGAGCATCCTGGGTAAGGGGGGCGCACCACAGCTAGAAGCCCCTCCACAGCATAAGGCCTTGATCTGTCGCTGCCAGTATGAGGCATTACAACAGCTTTTGAGGTCTTTCAATCAGACTGATCGACCTCTGTGCATCAGTAAGACATAATAGAAGGCTATTCACACTGCCTTGATGAAGAGAGACAAATGTGTTTAGTAGGACATTCAGAAAAACTGATCTTATTCCTAAAAGAGTACAGTTTGAAACTCAATACCTAGGTAAGTGACAAATCTGATATTGTCCTCAATAATTAATCTATGACTATATGGACCTGTTGGGGGACACTGAAAAACATGACTGTGTTTACCTGAAATTTAAAACTGATTTGTAATGTACTAAATGGTAAACTGAGAGAGAAAAACACATTGACAAAATAAAATAAATGTTTTTCACTAGGTACATTAGGAATAACATCAGAGAAAATATTATAATTTGCTTGGCATATTTTATGTCGATTTTGAACGTCTCTAATGATAAGTTTCCAGCTCTTTCCCAGAGAGGCTACTTCCTGAACTAATCTCTTTGTTGTCGTTCATGTTTTCCAAGGAAGTATCTCAAGTTCTAATGGGTTTATTCAACACTCAACACAGACGCTGAATTGAAACCTTTCTAATCTTTTCCATCCAAACTGATTATACTTTTTGCTATGTTTTTAAAAGCTTACAGATCATAAAATCTTGACACGTATATTTAATAAATATTGATGGTTCCTTAGGAATTTAGGAGGAAAGAGTCAATAAATTGGCTATTACTAAACACTTCGACCTGATATCTGGGCATAATTAGCCTAATGCTATTGCTTAGGGTGATTTGTGGCTTTTATGTTATCTAGACAGGTGTCAGAGAAAAACCTTCCTTCCTCTCTCTGGAGTACTTTTTTTGCAAGTCTTACTGCTCTAGTTAGTTCAATGCCTATTTATTTTTACTTTGTTCATTATTTTAGTCCTCAGGAGTAATGTTCAATTGTTTTTAGCACGATAAATTTTACTTTCCCACATGTCGGTCTGGTTACAAAGCTAATACAAATCCCTCTAAATCTTTTGTGCCACCTAGTATGCATTTATTATTTTCTTCATATTTTGTCCACTCCCAACCATTTAACTATTTACAGTCATTTCAAAGTAATCTATGTAAATTAGGAATCAGCAGTATAGGTCCAAAGCCTCAAGGCATCTCACCTGGCCCTGGTCTGCAGTGGATTGGGTTTTTTCTCTATCCAATCAACCACATGTCACCCCATTTAGAGCTGTGCGCACTGCTTATTCAACCTCAACTTCAGAACACACACTCTTTGATCATATCAATCAGCCAGCAATTGTTATTTCCACCCATGTAATGTTCTCCCAAGAAGTCACTGTGGGTAAAAAAATAAAATCAGAATAGATGACAGCATATGGCAAAAAAAAGCAATATTAAAACAAGTGATTTTTTCAGAGTTTATTAAACTTATAGGTAAGGATTCTAGAAAGTCTTATCATTTCAGATGGAGTTCTATACATAAATAGTAGACGTAACAGGCCGGGCGCTGTGGTCTAGACGCCTGTAGATCCATAGCTCCTTGGATGGCTTTTCTGAGGCGGGGCGAAGTATTGCTCAAGGTCAGGGAGTCTCAAACCAGCCTGAGCAATGAGCGAGACCCCGTCTCTAACATATAATAGAAAGAAAATTAATTGCGCAACTGATACTTATATATAAAAAAATCTACGGGCGGCATGGTGGCGCATGCTGTAGCTCCCAGACTACTCGGAGGGGGCTGAGGCAGAAGATCACTCAAGCCCAGGGGAGTTAGAGTCTTGCGTGAGCAGTCTAGGGCTGACGGGCCACGGCACCACTCTAGCCTGGACAACAAAGTGAACGTCTGTCGCAAAAAAAAAAAAAAAAAAGAGTAGAGTAACAAAGTATCCTCAGCCATCTAATTCATAGAATGATGGACAAAAGACAATGACACATAAAATACTTTTACTTCTAAAGTTGTTTGGACACATTAGATATTGCTCCAACTCCAAAAAAACCTTTTCAAGGCCATATTAAAATAGCTAGTAGCTAATAAGTGACTACAAACCAGCAATCTGAATTTTGTACAAGCAACAGGAAATTCCGGGATATTCTTTCTGAGACAGAGTTGCCTGATGCTGCCCAAAGAGAACATACAAAATGCGAGCAGCCACAGCCCACGCAACCAAACCTGCTCGCAATCCTCCTGCCTTAGCCTCCAAGTAGGGGAACTACAGGCACATGCACTCAACACCTGCGAATTTTCTATTTTTTGATAGCATGATTAGGGGTCTGGCCTCTTGCCTCCAGGCTGATCTCAAACTCCTGACTTCAAGTGATTCCTCCCACCTCAGCCTCCCAGAGTGCTTAGGATTACGAACAGAGCCACCATGCCCAGCCTGAAATTCTGGGATTTATTACATTGACAATCGTCAATCATTGGTTATTAATGTAATTTTTATTAAACATTGCTATAGTATTTTCATCAGTCTGCAGGTAAAAATAAAAAAAAAAAATAGGATCCTATGGTTCCACTGTGGATTAGTAACGAACCTTGTTCCTAACTGGGGCGATTCCCATGCCTCTTTTATAACTGCGTAAGCCCTTCAAATATTATTGTTACCTTTATTGCGGCAACTCATAAATGAACAATAAGCCAGCTCTTCTAATAAAACACGATTGCAAATATTACTAACCTGGTTTTCCTACCTCTTTAGGGACACTTCAGGGGCAGCACCGGGGAGGACATGTGCAATATTTCTTCAGGTTCTCCTGCTTTGACACTGTGATGAGAAAGGCAATCTTTTTGCTAGTTTGCATGGTAAAGGTACTCTTGCAGGTACTTGTTGAGATGATTGAAGTTCTCTCTTGTGGTGAACAAGAGCAAACTCTCTTTAGGACATGAATTGACTATAAGAAGCATATTCAATAAACTTCAATACCTTTGTACCCCCTTTTTAGCAGAAAACCCTATATTAATAGAAGTTGGCCGCTAATGTCACTTGCCTACGTCCAGTTGCCAGCAGCGTGTAACATTAAAGTGTCGCTACTCTTAATTTAGCAAGCGCAGAATCTGGCCTGTTTTTTTAATTACTTTTTAAACCCTTCAATTCTGATTTCCACTTGCATTATCACTCACTTATATCTCTCCCCTGAGTAGCACCTAAGTGGTCACATAGATACTGCAGTAATAGGGTATTGGGCAGGTGGGAGGGGGGAGGAGGGTGGGTATATACATACATAATGAGTGAGATGTGCACCATTTGGGGGATGGTCATGCTGGAAACTCAGACTTGTGGGGGGAAGGCGGGAAAGGACATTTATTGAAACCTTAAAATCTGTACCCCCATAATATGCCAAAATAAAAAAAAAATCCCTATTTGGTTAAGCCACTGTAGCCAGATTTTTCTATTTTTCTATTACTTGCAGCCAAATGCATCCCTACCTTATAGATTGCTCACTGTTTTCTCATTTAATTTTGAACAGACTGGGCTGTCATTTTCACATCCTAAAGGTCAAAGCTCAGAGTCTTACTTTCAGACTTCTTGGCTTTTTAATTTTTAACTGGAAGCACCTCCTAATATTTGACCTACAAGATTAAAACCACTTTACCCTTTGGAAAAAGTATAATAATGATGAAATAAGATAATATTTAAGCATGAATACTTCAATCATATACCCTATCTTAAACCAAGAGAACATGGAATAACAAAAAGCAAATAACTTCATCTCAGAAGATCTAGGTTTGAGTTCTCTCTTCATTACTCACTAGGTGTGTAACCATGAGCAAGTCACCTAAGCCTCTCCAAGTCTCAGTTTGCTTATCAATAAAACAGAGCTAATAACAATGTCTACCTCATAGAGTTTCTGTTAACATTAAATGAAAAAGTATATATGTGAATAAAAATAGTCATTATTATTGGCCATAATAATTATCTAAGAGAAGAGTTTTTTCTCCATGTGATTAATATGTGGCATTTTAAGCTAATTTGTTTTCTGAATGTAGTTTTATAATTTTGGTAATAGCCTCTGTCTTAGTCCATTTAGATTGCTGTAACAAATTACTATAGACTGAGTAGCTTATAAACAACAGAGATTTATTTCTCATGGTTCTGGAGGCTAGGGAGTCCTAGATCAAGGCGCTGGAAGATTCAGTGTCTGGTAAGGGCCATCTTCTTGCTGTAACCTCACATGGCAGAAAGGGCCAAGGCAGGTCTCTGGAGTGCCTTTGGTAAAGACACTAATGCCATTCATGAGGGCTCTACCCTTAAGACTAAATTACCTCCCAAAGGCTCCACTTACTACCTTCATATTGGTGATTAGGTTTTTGACATACAAACTTTAAGGGGACACAAGCATTGAGACCATAGTATCCCCCTAACTATTTCCAAGCAAAAGAAGGAAACAGCACTAGAGGTTAATTTTCCTGTGGAGGCTCAATTCTAATTAGAGATGAGTCTTGGGAGGCCTTAAGAAGGATTCATCTGGTCCTGGGTTGGCTCCAGGGATACACTGATGATGCAAACCCACACTAGTGAAGAACAGAAGAGCCCACAACCTAGCCCCACCCTAATCCCCATGTCTGACCTATAAAATCAAACCAAAACCAACTAAAACCAGAAAACTGGAATTTTCTGGTAGGCAGATTTTGAATATTCATTAAAGGGAATTTTTTTCATTTTGTATACTAATAACCTATCTATACTTCTCTGTGCCTTCAATAGAGACCACCCTCTGGATTATATGAGTATGTCCCATTTTCATAGAAAAAGTACAGAAAAAGTAAACATTATTTGTAAAAGCTAGGAATTCATTTGTCTTCCCTTTCCTCCTTTTATTTTTCCACTTAATGAATAATTGGTCATAAATATCCAGGAATTAAGAAGACTTAGGAAGAATTTGAGATCTATATCTTATAAACTTACGGAAGAAATTACCTGAAAGCAAGGACTTGGGGGTTTCTTAATGATGCCGAATAGCAGTGCATGTTTCTAAGCATCCTCCCATAGCGACAAAAGCTCTCCTTAAGTTGTCATTGTCATTTCCATAATGCTTAGATCCTGTGATTTTTAAAGTGCATATACTGTCTCCAATATTCAACACCACACTGATGAGGGCTACAAACATTTCCTTGTAGAGTTTAGGCTTTCGTCCCTTCTGTCAAGATTGGTAAGTGTCACTGTCTTCATTTCTGCCTGCGTTTCATGTGGATCTGGACATTAACTTCTGTACCAATTTCTATGAATACTCATTGCAACCTTGTTGATCATCAAGGCTGACAAGGTTAACCTTGAGAACGTGAAAGTCAGCTGAAAGCAGAGCTGAGAAGTGTGGTCAGGGAAGTGACTGGATGTTTCTGAGCCTGCAAGAGAAGGATGTTTGCAGCCCTTGTTGCATCCCTGAAGCCTGGCTCCACAGCCCACTCTTTCAGTCCCCATCCCTGTGCTCAGGGCTCCCAGGCCAGAGTCAAAGGCCTACCATGCCAACACTGAGTCATGGGGCTATGTGAGAGAAAGCACATCATTTGGAGTTGGACAGAGAGGGTATCTACCAACTTGTACAAATATTTATATTCTCCAAAATGTCATTTCTTCAGCTATAAAAATGTAACAAGCACTGACAACACATGAGCACTCTCTTATGTTTCTGGAATAGAAAATAGAGGTTAAATGATATGACTTCTCTTAGAAGCACTTTGTTATCAATAGCCTTAAAAATGTTGTAGACCATTTGACCAGGTACTTTCACTTTGGGAAATCTATCCTGAAAGGATCATCTGAAATGCATATTCATAAGTGTGTGTTCTGCAGAGAGTGTCTCTCCCAAAACTATCTCTTAACACACTAATCCTGCAGTTTTTCTCTCTGTCTTCCACCTCCAGCTCTCTCTTTCCCTTATCATATAAATCCACTTTCCTCTGTCTGAGGCAAAGATTCTTTTTCCTTAGGAGAGAAAAGAGAAAGCAGACAAATGCAGAATTCTCTTTGGCAGGCAAGAAAGAAATGAGGCACCTACCTACCATACAAATAAAAAAGAAAAGAACTTCTTTTTTTATTGGAGAGAATCTGATCACAGGATATGCTCAGAACATAAGGACGTCCTTTCTGATTGTTCTTTTTTCCTTCTTTTACTCAATAAGTACTTTACTCAATAAGTAATTACTAAATATGTGTACTGTTCTAATTGCTGGGTTATATAGAGCTTACATTTAGTGAGGAAGGTAAATAATAATCAAAACATGGGAATGAAAACATCAGGTTTACATTTTTAAGAAATCACCCTGGCTACAGTGTATAAAATATACTATAGGAGGAAAATGGAGATCAGGTACAAGCTACGGTAGACGTGGTGTAGGAGGGAGATGGTGCTAATTTGGACCATGGTAGAAGCAGCAAAAATGGTGAGAAGTATTTGCATGCAGGATGTATTTTAAATATAGTACCAACAGGATTTGCTGATGAATTGGATGTGAAGGTATGAAGGAAAGCAATGACAAAATGCCAAAGTATTTTTCCTGAGCAGGAAATGGTAGTGTCATTTACTGAGATGGGAAACAATGGAAAAGGAGCATGTTTGGGGGGAAAGCAAGAGTTTTTCTTTGGCCATCTTAAGTTTAGATGGCTAGTCAAGTGTAGTTGTCAAGTGAGCAGCTAGATAAACAAATCTGGAGTACAAAGGAGAGCTTGGGGTGGCATCAGGATATAGATAGTATTTTTTTAAAGATATGACTAAAATCACTTAGGGGGTAAGGCGTAGATAGAAAAGAGAAGATGAGCCCTACATAATTCCAAAATTTACAGGTTCAAGAAAGAAAAGAAAGAAGAAGAGCCAGAAAAGGAGCCTAAGAAGGAAGGCAGGATAGAACTAGAAAAACAAGGTGTCCAGGAGGCCAAGAGCAGCGAGTGGGACTTCTCAGAAGGGAGGGAGGGGTGCACCACCAGCTGAGGAGTGTGATCTCTGCAGCAGGTACATAGGAAAGTCCAACTGGAGTCCGTTTAAGAGACGGTGGGAGGAAGGCAAGAGGGTGGAGGTGGTGATGACACAGCCATTTCGAGAGTTTTACTTTAAGGAGGAGCAGAAGCACAGGGCAGTCGCTGGAAGAGGATGAAGCGGTGTCAGAGACAACATGGAAAGGAGACGCACAGGGTGACAACTCCAGTTTTGCTTCAGGCACTCGAGGTAGGAATCATAGGAAGAGCACCAGGTTTGGAGGGAGAATATGTAGAGCTTGGTTTTGGAACGTTACATTTGAGCTGTAGACACCAAGGAGCTGGAGGTTAGGATCACAGCTCTGAACAAGCTCAGAAATAAATCTAGCTGAGTGTTCTCCGTCTGAATGATTTTTAACCATGCACAAAGGCCCATGGCATGTAATGGTTTGTAATGTTGCTCAGATACAAATTTGAATTACACATGCTATGAGGCAACTGGGCAGGATTGAATTATTTAGCTGGTGAACGAAACCATCTGACTACCCAGGATCCACTCTCAATCCTGTTTGCTCACTGACACCTGAAAAAAAAAAATGGTATATTTCAAAGAAGAGCTTGTTTCCAAAAGAAAGCCAGTCCTTAAAATCAGAGGTGGCACAGAAAGAGAGCTCTAGGGAGGTGGTGATTTTAGGACACAAACTAGAAATTGTTTGAGGGTGAAGGATTATATACTTGCAGTCCTTATAAATTTGGGGACTCACAAAGATTTTGAGACACATCTTATGAATGTCAAGGGTCTCCATTCCTGCTCTTCAGGTCCAGATATCTCTGCCTGACTTACTAGGTTCTCCACATTCAGTCCCTCCATGAGCCTCTGTGCCATCATCAGGCGCCTTTCCTGCCCCCACCCCCCCACCACCACTACCACAGTGCTCATGCCTGTCTCCGCAACATTGCTCATGGTCCTACTTACCCTCTGGCCAGACGCAACCTCTTGTGTGAGACAACAACCCAGACCATCTCCCTGTACCAAAGGATTCTGCCATTGGAGTTCAATGCTGGTAGCCTCCCATGTCAGTGGATGAGCTACCTAGAGCAAGCACCCCGCTGCTGCTCACTATAGGGAAGACTGTCTCAACATGCAAAGAAAGCACTTTTCACACCCACAGGCTCCTTTCTCTGGCAGAGCACCCTAACTGATGATATGGTGAAAGTCTAACATGCACTGGCTCAAATTTCTCCATTAGGCAGAGTTAATGTGTTCATGTCAGTGCTCACCTCTGGGCTTGAAGCTGGCCACAGCCCTCTATGCACCCTGCTGGGTATTTCAGGGATGTCTTCCCTACCCTGGCCAGCGTCTCCATCACCACAGTTTGCATTGATTCAACAGTCGCTTTATGCCAGGCTCTGTTCTAAGCATTTTAATACTCATGATAACTCTATGAGTTGTGTACAATTACAACCCCCATTTGATAGGTAGGAAGAGAAGAAAAATAACTTACCCAGGATCACATAGCAGATAAGCTAGTAAATGGCAAAGCTGGGATTCTAACCAAGATGCTCCCCAAGTGGGCCACATAGCCTGGATATTGGGGAGAAGGAGTCAAGGTTTGAGTGGTTCATTTGGGGTATGGTTCAAGCCACTTTCACTAACTGAGCTTTAAGAGTAATACGGCTACTTGTTAATTCTTGGCTGATTCCTGAGTCTACTTTTCAATTGGTTCGAAGTTCAATACAGAAAGGGCTATAAATTACTCACCCCCTGAAAAGGCCTACACTAGCCTGATCCAGTTTTACTGAAGTAGGATAAAGGATTAGAAATTAGAAATCCCTTTCTTCCAATGTACTTCTAGCTTCAAACATACATCGACACCTGAGTGGGAACCACCTTGGGAACACAGCACAATTAGGGAGTGCTCACGCCCCCCCCCCACATCTAAGCACTAGGCTTCCTTCCTTAGTCCTTGGACCATCACGATACCATCCTGTCCCTCATTCTTCTTGGTCCTCCAGCAGCCTTACCCTCAGCTGAGTTTTCTCAAGCAGCCTCCTGACCAGCAACACTAAAGGAAGAAAAGGAGTCCCTTGTTTATTGATTAACCAGGGTCTCTGAGGGACAGAGATCTGTCTAGTCACACATCCTACTCCTCATTTGAAGCAGTGAGTACACTCCTCTTGTTCCATGAGCACACATTAGCCTACTTTGATCTCTCACCTTGTGTTATTATATAGCATTACAGTCTAAAGCAAAATTTTCCAACAATTACTTATTGAGCACCCACTGTGTACCTGGAATACCATAGTGAATAAGACACAAATGTGGCTTCTGTGTGGCCATCCTCACTTTAGAATTCATTCAGCCTTGCGTTAAACAACTGTGAGGTGTAAGAATCTATATTGTCCTCTGCTAAGTCCCAGAAGAACCGAGTGACACTCATGCTTAGACCTGCAGAGGGACCTCAACATGCAAGAATAGTAAGGACCTTACAATTCTCCAAAAGATAATGATTTAGAATGGGGGTTAGAGCCTAAATTCTGTGGGTAGATTTCTTGGGGCCTATAAATCTAATACTGTTGGTGAACTTGTCTGTGTGTGTGCACATGTGTGCATTTTTCTCTGGAAAGGGTCTATAGCCTCATCAGAATCTTAAAGACCTCCATGAATCAAAAAAACGGTTAAGAAACCACTTTTTCAAAGCAGCTTCCAAAGAAATGAACTCCAAATATAGAATCTGGTAGTGATTTGATCACACCCTGAATCCTTGCACTCTGGCCGTATCACTTGGAGACATCAGGTCAACTGGATGTCACAAGCACTACGGGGACCAAACCTACAAAGCGTTCTCTCATCGGTCCTCTTGCACAGTGGCTGCTGAAGGCATTCCCCACTCGCTTCCTCTCCCTCAAAACATTTCTTCCTACCCTTCCATGTAGGGAAAAAAAGAACTAGCTAAGGCCTCCAAACTGAAAGCATAAAAATCTGTGATTAGAATCTCTCCAATTCAAAAAGAAGTAATTGCCCCTTTACTTTTTATTGTAATTTATTGAATTAAAAATTCAAAACTTTATTATGAGGCTCTGGGCCAGTAACACAAAAACAGCAAAGTGGGAATGAAATCCTATCAGTCTCTCAATTTGGAGAGTCCTTTTCAAATATCCTGGATATCTGTGTGACCATATAAAGATTTATGATAGAATGATAAATTCAGGATGGCTACAACTAGTCATTCTTTTGTTAAAATAAAGTGCTGGTATTCGTGTCTTGATAAACTAAAAAATAACTCTCCCACCTTCTCCCATTTCCTTCTGTATTTTCTCCCCCTTCTCTAAATGTAGATATCCATCTTGCTACAATTCTGTTGCTTCCTTAAATTGTATTTTAAAAATTGGCAAACATACATGTCTCCAAAGGGGAGATTGATGTGCTACAATTTGCCCACAGTTTCACACACCAAGGCTCAGCCTGGAGTTTCCTTTTATACTCTTAAAGAACTGAAATATCAACTTTCTAAATGAAAGCTTCTATAAGTATAGCTTGAAATTTATACACAATGACACCCTAAACAACTCACCAGGGAAAATGTTGCAATCTACAGCTGTTACAAACTGCCTGTAATTCAAAACTTTCCCAAAGCTGTTTTTTAGCAGGACCTACTTCTCCTAATACAATCATTTTTGCCAATCTTTCTTTTAAGGTTTCGATTTTGCAAAATTGATTTTGAGTAAACTGTGGCAGG